CAATGCTCATGGCCAAGAGTGGCTTCTGAGACCTGAGACATTGACATACCGCACTATCGGTGGAAGTGTTGATCTCTACTTCCTTAGCGGCCAGAACAAGCAAGGAGGGTCTACAGCCATTGAGACCATGCGCCAGTATCACGCTGGCTGCGTTGGCTTACCTGCGATGCAAATGTTCTGGACACTTGGCTTCCACCAATGTCGCTTGGGATATGATACCCTCGATAAGATCGAAGCGGTTGTTGAGAATTACAGAGCCGCTGACATTCCACTCGAGGCTATTTGGTCAGACTTTGACATGTTTGATGGCTTCCGCAGCTTCGCTAATAACCCTGTCACTTTCCCGCCTGATCGCATGGCGAAGTGGGTAGACTGGCTTCATGAAAACGAGCAGTACTACGTTCCTCTAGTATGGGCCAACATATACCGGCCGAATCCTGATGATCCAAAGGATACTTACGGTCCCTATGAACGCGGCGCCAAGCTCAAAGCATTCATCAGGGATCCAGAGTCGGGCGACTTCTACACGGGCAACAACTGGCCCGGGTTCGTTGTCTGGGGAGACTTCATGTTGCCTGAGACGCACAAATGGTGGGCTGAAGAGCTCAAGATATGGTACGATAGCGTGCCTTACGATGGAATGCTCTCTGATCTCACAGAGCCCGCTTCATACTGCGTGGGGCCCTGCGGAAATAGTCGTCTAGATATGAACCCCGTTCATGTTCCGTTCCTGATTCCTGGAGAGAAGCTCAGGATGTTCTATGAGTATCCAGATGGCTTCAGTGTGACTAATCGCTCTGAGTTTGAAAAGGCAAAAGAGCTTGCGGCCAATCAGTCAGCGGAGGTCGAAGCTGCCCATGTCTTTCAAGTGCCTGTCACTAGCACGCTAGGGCGTACGGAGCCAACACCAGGTGTCAGAAACCTGACTTATCCACCTTATGTTCTTAACAAGTAAGTCGGCCTTGTTTATCACTATGACACAATATGCTGATGGTCATTGTAGTCTGCAACCTGGTCACTCCATCAGGAGAATGACCATCTCTCCGGATGCAACCCACAATGATGAGTTAAACACCACTGAGTATCAAATGCATAATCTTTTTGGCAACCAGATCTCCAACGCGACCTATCAAGGACTGCTTGATCTGTTTCCTGGACGTCGTCCCTTCAACATCGCCCGTGGCAATTTTGCTGGCATTGGCCGATATGCGACGAGGTGGGGAGGTGATAACTCATCTAAATGGGGTAGTATGTTCTTATCCATCTCACACGCCCTGACACACATGATGGCTGGAATTCCCATGTTTGGAGTTGACATCTGTGGCTACTCCCATAACGCCAGCTTTGACCTTTGTGCTCGATGGATGTCTCTGGGAGCCTTCATGCCTTTTTATCGAAATCACAATATGGGCGGCACGATATCCCAAGAAGCGTTTGTCTGGTCGTCTGTTGCTGAAGCTTCTCGCCGAGCTATAGCGATAAGATACAGCCTTCTCAACTACATCTACACTCTGTTCCACTACGCCAATACCAAAGGCGATCTTGTGATGCGCGCTTTGGCATGGGAGTTTCCAGACGACGAAAGCCTCAAGGCCACCTATTCCCAGTTTTTACTGGGTCCATCTCTTCTAGTAACACCTGTTCTCACTCCAAACTCAAAAACAGTACGCGGCGTTTTTCCTGGGATTGGAGAAGGAACAAGATGGTTTGACTGGTATACACTGAATGAAGTCCATGCTAAACCTCAAGAGAACGTCACTCTTGATGCACCTTTGGAACATATCAACCTTCACATCAGAGGCGGCACAATAATTACATTGCAAAAACCGGGAAATACAACTGCAGCGACGAGAAGGAACCCGTTCTCACTTCTCTTGGCCTTGGACGACAATGAGTACGCTGAAGGAAGTGTGTATCTTGATGACGGTGTCAGTCTCGAACCAGAAGCCATCAAGACTGTCGCAGTAAGCTAAATGGTCCTTAATATCAGCCATGAATAACATGACTAATCATATCTTATAGTATACCTTCAGGAAGGGGATCTTAAGGGCGGAAACCACTGGTGACTACAAGGTGAGTCCTCCACTTGTAAACATAACTGTGGCTGGACTTCGCAAGGCGCCTAAGAGCGTTGAGTTCCATTCCGAGGAAGGAAATCAGGAAGGTTCATCACCCAAAATTGAGTATAGTAATGGCACAGCATATGTAACAGGACTGGAACGTTTTATACAGAACGGAGCCTTTAGCTATGACTTCCGGGTCAAATTCAAGTATTAAAACGGGAACTCAAGCAGTTATCTTTCGGATACACGACTTTATCGATTTATATTGAATATATTTGCTAATTTTTCTTTATTCATGAATTATGTGCTTGAAAGAGTTGTGGCGCGCAATCTTTCGTCAGTCTCTGGCTTGACAGTATGACAAGATAAACTACATACAGTCCATTAATTCGAGAGGCATTCTTTGAAGCAAATGCATTCAAGTCCTCCACTTATCTCTATATATGCATATTTATAAATGGAGTCTATCCGAAGCCCACGGTTATTCTCAATTGTGCCTTCCAATAGTCCACGACTCAGGCCACCAACTCCAGATGACAACCCAGCCTCCAGCAAGAGAAACAAGACCTGTAAAGAGAATCAGTGGCCCGTAGGTACTGCCGTACCCAAAATGTTGGCAATCAGAAATTGTGCCAGCGTTAATCAGCCAGACACTCGCCGCACCCCCAACAAGATATCCGATACCTCTTACACCGTTGATTAGACCGTATATCAGCCCAGCGTCAATAGACTCTCCCCTGTCTGCGGAGTCGCTCTCCATCTGCTTGAGGATTCCTCCCCAAGTAGCACTGTAGCCACTTGAGAAGAAACCGAATGTGATAGAGAATAGGACCAAGAGAAAGACAGCTCCCTGTGTGGTGTTTCCCCAAAAGAGGAACACAGCCAACCCGCTTGTAACGCATGGAATTGCCGACACAGTTTGCGCTGACAGCACAATTTTCTTGTTGTCGCTGAGCCACCCAAAAAACGCAGATGCAAGGATACCAACGGCGTTCTGTAGTGCCAAGACTGTGGTTGCCATTGTCTCCGATAAGAGACTGAAGTCCTGGGCATAAGTGCCTAAGTACGTCTGGGGCAAACCATAACCGGTTCCTTGGAAGAAAACGGCAATGCTATAGAAGTATATAGCGGGATGCTTGAGAAAGCCCCAGGGTATGTTTCTTTCTGGTGTCTTATGCATGGCAATTCTTGATGGTGGGATAGGAACAAGGCTGATACTGAGGATGCTTGCTGCGCCAACAAAGACTGCCCAGGCAGTCATAGTTGTCCGGAAGCCCCACGTATCTAGTGAAGCTTTAAACAGGAATGGACCGAGGGTGCCAACAATATTCTTGCATGACAAGACCAGTCCGTATGCTACTGATCGGTTGCTGGTGGTGTACCATTCACCCAAGGAGAGGGTAATGGGGCTGTAGATAAGGGCGCATCCGAATGCCGATGTTATTCCCTGAGTAACAAGGAGATGCCAAACATTTGTGCTAAATGTTGACAGGAAGAAGCTGATGGAAGCTATGAGGGCACCGCAGAAAGCAGCCTCTTGACGCCGGTATGCCCATCGTCTTGTGAACAACGCGAAAAGGAAGGGCATGGATAGGTACATGATGCCATTGGCTGTTGTCCCGATAGCGCCGGTGATATCTTTGTTTCCCTGGAGAGTCCAGTTGTTGAAGTAATATTCCTCCAATACGCCGTAGCTGATTGCGAAGCCTGGATCTTCTGTGATTAGATATATAGCACAAAGCCAGAGGGAGACATACCCCAGATAGGTATTTGGATGACCCCGTTAGCTGCCAGGACACGAATGAGGGTTCGTCTGGGAATATGGTCGCGCTTTAATTCGGTTTCGCTGATGGCGATGTCGTTTTCAAGGTCAGAGTCGGATGCTTCGTCACCAGCTGAAGCACCCGGCTCGACGAGAGGAATTTGGTCGACATTGTTTCGAGACACAGGCTGGTATTCGGGTCTGCCAGACAACAATCATGTCAGTCAGTCACTGGTTCAAGGAAGACGAGGAAACATAATCAGCCTACCTAGCCATGATGGTGTATAATTTGTGATGAATAGCGCTATCAATTGAATGGACCATGAAGGCAAAGTGAAGCTTGAACCGTGGTACAGAATGTCTACTTTGAAAGAGAAGAGAGAGTCGCGATGACAGTGCTGTATGATGGGTGCTGCTTGGCGGGGCATACAGAAGACCCCCCATCTGCCAGCCTCCAAGCCTACACCCAGCCAATGGCACCAGAACAACAGATTAGGCAAAGATCTGACAATCACCACAAAGACGGCCTCTGAATGAAGACCTTAGGACTCACAAATTGGGAGACAAGCCAAATGACGTATCAGAGAAGTACAGCTTTTGTTTCCTCACAGCAACGGCTATTACGGCACCTCAGACCCCGCATCAGTAGCATTGCAGCATGCAAACACGGAGCACAGCCAATCCTTCGCCGCGGAGGGCGTGCCACTAATAATCTCCATTAGTTAGACTTTCCCCATACCCACCGGCTAGAGTTGTCTCCTCAGTTCTTATCTCCGCTTTAGCACGCCTTGACCCCTGTAACTGCTGTGTCACCACACCGGGAGAATTGCGTCCGAGCAATCTTGGGCGGTATTAGGAAATTGATCGCGTGCTTTCGAGATTCTATGATACCGCCTTATCCGGGCCGTGAGACTTGATGCATATAAGCATACCTGAGAACAAGCTTTGCCAAGGCTGGCCAAGATCTTCACTGGACCCTGGTTGGCCCCACGGTTACATACCCTTTTTTGAGAAGGTTTTTATCAAGGTCCGCAAGGACAGCGCGTAAGACTACGATCAAGGCTGATGCAGGTGAAAAACCCAAATATCATATCATTGTTCATTCTAGCGATGCATATCCACATCTTCATTCAAGGGTAATGATCCCACGAATGGAGCCTTGAAAAGCGTTATCTTCAGTCCGCGTGGAGCAAAACCTTGTGAGGCCGATCATCAACCTGCACCCCGCCCCTTCTCTTCCAATCAGAGTCATGATACGGGAGTTTCCATCCCCCTTCGCTCTCAGGCGTAGAAACCCACAGTCGCAGGAGATGGCGACGGGGAGCGGGTGGCTCGTGGTCCGTGTAGGCCTGGCGAGAATGGTAGAGATGGTTGTTTGTCATGAAGTGGACATCTCCGACCTCAAGGACATTGCCGATGGATTCTCTGTAGCAAGTTTGGTCAAAGAACTCAATCGCCTCTGCTTGTGCATCAGAGAGAGGGGGGATGATGCCTTTGTCAGAGAATCTCTTCAGAGACCTAACGTAGTTTGGATCAAATCTACAATTGAGAATGTAAGCATTATAGCTTCAAGGCTACAGTGACTTAGTGAGTTGACGTACTTGGAGTACACTCTGCCATTTCCCTTCTCGATGTAGTAGATGGCACATCGGATATAATCCTCCTGTCCATCACTGACTTCTCCCTTTCGGTCAAAGTACCAAATGGGCTGAGTGAGAAGTTCCGCGATATCAGGACGTTCCTCCTGCATAACATTCCAGACCCGGTGGCCCGAAACAATGTTGTTCTCGCCTCCCTTGAGCGGAGTATTGAGGCATAGTAGTCCGACAATATCTGCCGGGTCCGCATGGAAAGTTTGTCTGTAATACGAGTAAGCCCAACTGCCGGGCATGATCTTGAGTCACATACCTTGCCGTGGTTCGATACAGGCGGACCTTGTGGAAGTCCGCCGGGTTCTCACCAAGATCCTTGATATGCCCTAGCACATGGCCTCTACCGTTCTGACTCACGATATGCCCAAAGTGAGCGCCTAAGCCCATGTATGCCGTGGAAGACTTGCGCATTCCCCATTCCTTGACGGGCATGCCTTGGAACAAGATGAATCCGTAGCCATTGATCATATCATCTCGAACCTCTTCAAGGTACTTGGCCATACGAGGAAGAGGAAACAGCTCCTGAACAACCATGTCAGTACATGTACTCATGCAATACTCCAGTCATACCTTGCACATCTCGTTCAAGTCTCGGCCACTATTGATGTAGTTCTCGGCAGCCGTGCTCAGGTCTTCGAGCTCTTCCGGAGTGAAAGGATGCTTCCAGATGGCTTCCTTCTCAGGAGACCCGGATAGATCATCCTTAGTCCAGGCTGTTATACCAGTGATCTCCTTGGGAAAATCTGAGTATGGGTGTATTTCCTCGTAGAGGGGAGGCTGCTGGCCTGTAGTCTTGTAGCCATCAGGGAAGAGTGCTGACTTGGGCTTCACCTCGAGCTTGGTGCGGTACTCAGTCTTGGGGAGATGCGAAAAGTCGCTGGCAGTTTCGATGAGACCGGGGGCCATTGTATGAGTGTTCAATTCAAAGTGAAGTGTCAAGGTGGATCAATTGCTTGAAGTTGGATTGCTTTTCTTTAAGCGAGTTAGTAAATACGTCTCTGTAAATATAACGCAATGCTTTTATATCATTGTCTCCTTGGAGCGTCTACCTTGGCATCAGAATGCTTGAATTGGGAGTGTCACTGTTGCTCAAAACATCCCGTAGTCTTGCTAAATCACGCCACGTCTACTGATCTGTTTACTTTGTGTCGCTTCAAATGTGTCGTTACAGGCGTGACGTCGCCAGCCTGAAAAGACCCTCACCCCTCCATTTGCCGATGATCCGTGCGGCTAATGTTGACGTTCTGAAGTAAGCTTGGCCATATGCAGTACTACCCAACACCCACCTACTATGTATGCAAGTGCATGAAACGCTAAATAGTGTAACTCAAGATAGCATTACGCAAGATATCAGAATGCCAGCTGCCCAATCTAGAATAGAGTCCTGTCCATCTGTGAGGGTACAAAACCCGAACAGCAGATGTGAGGTTGATAGCCCTGAGAGGTTCCTCGCATGTACACGTGTTCCCTTAATAAGAGATACAGCGTACAGAATGTAACAACATTAACGGCCGTGATGATATGTACAAAGCAGCATTGTTTATCTCACAGGTCACAAGCACTTGGCTGTTGGGGTTGCATCGCAAGGTAGGGCTATTAAACAGCGTGCATGAGGATGTTAGGGAGAGGTTTGTAGTAAGATAAAACAGTAGAAACAGTGTAATAAGCTTAACCTAATCTAGTAAACATCTACCTGGGTGACAAGCTCCGCTACGGGGACCACCTGCTTCGCGTTGATCTTGAGAAGTTCCTTAACGCTGACAATGCGTGTATCTGCCTCGCACCCCGCAAGCTTCCCCTCTAGCAAGTCGATCACAGTAGCCTGAATGTTCTCTGAGGCCGTCGCCTCCGCAACAATTCTGTACATCCTTGCCTCATTGCTTTCCTCGCCCCAAACACTACGGTTCCGCAGCTTTCTAAGAAGGCAACCGTAGTTGCGAGCCTGAATCATTGCTCGTATCTCAGCGTCGTTGTAGAACAAGTCCAAGTTTTTGGCTAGGATCTTGTCAGAGATAGAGCCAACAGCGCTGATCTTGGCGCGCATCAAGTGGTTGGCGTAGATGATAACATTGGCACCAGCCTCGTACAGAGCATCCTTAGGTATCTCAGAGTAGGTAGTAGGAACGACAACAAGAGGCGTCTGAGAGTCGAACTCGCGGTACTCACGCAAGAACCGAGTAACCTCATGAGGAGATTTGCTCTTGGAGTGGATCATGATAGCGTCGATACCCGCTTCATGGTAGATCTTGGCTCGGTTCAAGGCGTCTTGGTGTGCAGCCTCGTAAGACCTGCTTTCTTCTTCCGCATCTGCCTTGGAGACACGGCAGCAGAAGGACTCAATACGAGCAGTGATCATGGGACCTCCCTTGGCCTTCGCATTCACCTCTCTGAAGACGCGGATTACTTCCGCGAATTCGTGGGGATCAGCCAGAGCCTGTGAAGCAGATGACGCAGCAAGCGAGTTGACCTTTTGGCCTGGGGCTGAAACGGCCTTGTCCTCGATGACAACCATGCCGACGCCGACAAGATTCATGAGTGCGACCAATGCAGGGATGTCTGCAATATCACCGCCACTATCTGCGTCAAAGGCGGCGCAGAGGGAGCGGTTGCTTGTTTTGCGCTTGAGCTCCCCGTCAAGTGCGAGGAGTGATGCCCGTTGGAGTGGGGAGAGCGTCTCACTGTCTGGAATACCGAGATAGGTGGTCTGACAGAGACCACTGTACCAGATGCCGTCGAACTTCTGGCCGTTCTTGCCAACAGTTGCTCTGATGATCTCTGTGGAGGTGCCATCATGAGATTCACAGAGAATGATTCTGTTGTTGTTCTGGCCCAATGCGGAACGCACAGAAGTGAAGGCAGGCGATGGCGAAATTTCAGTATGGAGGGATCCCATTTTGCTGGTTTGGTAGTCTGTGTACGGCTTTGCAACTGACAGTTTCTTTAATAAACAAGTGAGAAGACTTTTATGGACAAGAAAATAAGTCACATTAAGAATCTTTGATTTTGGGCCGTAATTCAAGCCAAGAGTCGGTCGTTTTCCCTCATTATTATACTCGTTCTCTATCTAAGCCATGACCTCTGAAACAGCTAGAACCCATGTCCGCTGTCAGTGGGACATATTCTCATCAGCTACGCTTATTGTCAATACTGGTTTTCTCTTCCCACTCGAGTCTTGTATCTTGTGAGTTATTGCCTAGTTTGTCTGCTCCCTATTGTCACCTCGTTCACCGTGCTCAGATGGGTAGGGGGACCCAATGCGGCTTCTGTCAGATCCCCCGAGATATCTTGGTCCGTGATGATGTTACACACCCTCAATGCTCACCGTATCTGGCTATCATGAACCAGGTAGGCTGCAGGAGGGATAGATTCTGGCAAGCTGTACGTTCTTGGCCTCGGTAAAGATGCCGATGAACCCCAAGTAATTACAGATAAGAACAGGTAACGATTCCGTGTCAGCAATTGCATCATCCGGGTCTCGTGCCTCGTTTCCGTATTTGCTTTAGAATAGGAATAAGATGCATTATCACGCAGTATGACATCGCCGATCTTTACAGATTAAGATTTATGGAGGTGGAGAGTAAGGACACGTCGTCAACCTCTTCAGACAGCAACAGGGACATGGCGTGTCTCACGAGTCAACATACAGGAACTTGTGCGGCGGCAGTTATAGGGTGAATTAATGGTGTCCACACCGTGAAGCAACTCCCCGTCTAAAGACTGAGATTCGTAACTGCAAGGATGAAAAGAGATTGTCTACAGAGCGCCGAAATTCACCGAATCAAGGACTTTGGTGCGCAGATCCCTGCATAAGCGGATCCGAGGTTTTATGCACAAGGACGGCACATGATATGATAAGCGCATTGCGGGGAGAACAAGCTCAGATCATGAGCGTTAGTTTACCAACTTATTCACCTAAACGTGTTTACTGTGTGGAGATGCCTCGCCCGGAGACTCCGTCTTGACTAACCCCGGCCCGGGCCGAATCGCCAAGCTGTCTTGTCCATCTTGCAGGGCTCGTGCCAAGGAACTTGCGTCGCACTAATGCTCAGGAACTATTGAAGATGATCCATCTCGCTTCATGGGAGTGTTCCGGGTAAGCAGTAATCATAGGGTTGCAACCTGGTGCACGGGTAGTGTTGCAATCTCAGCTGCGAGGTGGCGGGCGGCACGGGATGCACTGACTCAGGAATCGACAATGCGACACTGGCACTCACTTCCTTGCCTTATCGTCTTATCTTACGAAATTCTTTCAAATAAACAAAGGTGATTGGAAAAGACTTCGTAATGATTGGTAGATCCTCATGTCAGCACGTTGATTCGAGATGCCGAATATCCTTCGTTACCATTTTTCTTGGACCCTGAGTACGCGTAGCCCTGGTTTTAGCTTGCTTGAGGACACGCCTACCAGATGGAGGGAGGAGCGATATCGGGTGATTTGGGTCAATACGCCAAGGTGGATGAATTGCGCTTGTCGAGCTTAGTACCCTTGACGAGATTCTCTGCTTAAACCGTCTTTTCGTATATAAATTCGCGGGAGTGAATGTGGGTTTCGCGTAGCAGTACCTAGTGAAGGGAGTACCAAATACGCCGTCATGCATATTCTTCCTGTTTTGTGTTCTCTTCTTTTGTCAGCACTCGCTGAAGACGTACCCCCTCAATTTGATGATGGGCAACTTACTGGTAATGGCTTTGGTATACCAGGTATCAATGCCACCTACGACTATGTCATCGTTGGTGGTGGGACCGCAGGCGCCCTCGCAGCAGCGCGTCTCACTGAGCACAGTAACGCGACTGTTGCTTTGGTTGAAGCAGGAGGGTTCTATGAACTGAGCAACGGTAACGTCAGTCAGCTGCCATTTAGTACGTCTCACAACACGTTCGTGACTCTTTGCCGCCCAACTCACTAACCTGTCTTAGGGATCAACGATTGGAAGGGTTCGGGGGGCGCGTCTAGCTGGCAGCCACTTATCGATTGGGGTTACTTCACTCAGCCTCAAAACGTGAGCTTTCCCGTGACCTCACCCTGGCCCTCTTGTACTGATCTTGAATAGAACGGGAAGAAGATTCATTATGCGCAGGGTAGAACATTTGGTGGCAGCAGTGCCAGAAACCTCATGATGTTCAACCGCCCTACCAAGGGGGCATATAAGCACTGGGCTGAGAAAGTCGGCGATGATGCCTACACGTGGGACAATATGCTCAAGTTCAATACAAGAACTATGAAGTTCTCCGATAACAGTCAGCATCGTCCCCAGAACGCCACGGGCCTTTATGACACTGCCGCTTTCTCAGAGAAAGGAGGTCCCCTACACCTCACTTTTCCAGGATACGTTTTTCCCGTTTCCTGGGACGCTATCAAAGCCTTTGAAGCACTGGGATTCAAAGAGATTCCAAGCTTCACTGCTGGTGTCTTGCAAGGTTGGGGCTGGTGGCAGTTCTCCATCAACCCAGAAACCGGCCTTCGTGATTCTTCAGAGAGTTCATTTTTGCAGCAGAGCCTTGGTCGGGCTGGTTTGACAACATACATCAACACCATGGCTCGCAAGATTCTCTTCTCTGGCAAAAAGGCCGTTGGTGTCACCGTTGATAATTATGGTCGTCAATCTTTCAATTTGACAGCCCGAAAGGAAGTCATCGTTGCTGCCGGCCTCTGGAGCAGCCCTCAATTACTCATGGTTTCTGGCATTGGACCTGAGGAGACGCTCAAAAGGTTTGACATCCCAGTCCTATCAAATCTACCAGGAGTCGGCCAAGGCACACATGATTCAGCTGCTGTTCATGGGCCTATCTGGGAGATTGAAGGCATCTCAACGGGTGGCTGGAAACAGCCTTCCAAGATGAAAGAAGCCATTACTGAGTTTAACCAACACAAGAAGGGTCCTTTGACCAACGGTGGCGTTGATGTC